GTTTATATATTTCTTATGCATGCTGAACACTTGCATGACTGTAGTGTTCCTTTAGTCATGTACAAATAACTCCTGCTGTTATTTGTCTTCTGCATTACTAAATTAATGAGATTATTTTATGTTGTACATATACTCTACACTGCACAAACTGGAGTTATTTTGGTGGACAAAGGCAGCGGTGTGTACTTGTGTGTTACCTACCCGGTGCGTTTAGTGATGGTGCCCAGGGTCATGGGCTGTTTGATCTGAGCCAGAGGCAGCACGACAGTGAGGCTGGGCAGCGGTGACAGCCGTGGGCTCCCCATGTTGTTATTGGTGAAGTTGTTGTATGAATCCTGGTTGCTCAGCTTGGCTGGTAACACACATATACACAGGATTATTAGGTAACGGTTGCAATATACTGAGAACCACATTGTGAATGCTGGTACAACTTTTTATACATAACTCATTTTTCAGTGGTCAGTGGTTCCTTCTTCAGTTCAGTGACCTTTACAAATGCTAATTCTCAACATTGCTAACTTGAAATTAAATTAAAAATATCATCTGACATTCTCATCAAATTGCAGACCAAGCATCCAGCAGATGACCAGAAGACCTTATTCAGAGGAGAGAAACACCTTTCTGTTCAAGAAAAAAGCCTTTTTTGACTATTGTTTTAGATTTTTTCCCCTCAAACAGTCACATGGACACACACATGCAAACATACAATTCTGGGTTCAAGACCTCCTTCAGACTGAACTGAACTGAACTGACCAGCTCAATATAGTACATTACAGTGGCTCAAACCCTTCTCCTGGTGCCTGTAAGTCTGTTATTTTTAGGCAATCAACAGGCCCTACACACTGGCACAACTTAAATGCAAGCATACAGTATGGGGAGACACAATACACACACAAATAATGCAACAGGTCTCACGCAGCTCCAGCCAAACACACAGTACTCAGGCTATGTCAGAGGGCTTCTTTAAGAACCTAAGGACCTTAACCAGCTACATAAGATGTGAAGCTGCTAGTTCACTTGCTCTTTACATTACACAGTTAGCCTGCATTGTATTTGAAAACATAGTGCAACATGCTCTTCGCCAGGCTGAGGTAATCTCTGGCTTGGGCATGTAACTGTGCGCATGTTGAATAGAGCTGAATGCAAACATCTGGGCACCACTGGACAAGTTATACATCTGGCTGATTTTTGAAGTGAAAAACAAACACAACCCCTGTAGCAAACATACATACAAATGTATCTTTATTTATTAAATTTTAACACACTCTTACTTTTTATTCATGACTGCTATCATAAACCTGTTCCTATGTCTGCTTTATCAGATGATGGTCTGGTCACAATATAGCCTATAGATTTAATCAGAAATCGGTTTGCAATAGATCCTGGTCAATAAATTATGTTGACAGCAAATCTAGTTCTATGCATGTTTTATCCACTCTGATGTCTAACACCGGAGGCAGAAAAGCATGTGAATGAGCTCAACTATATTGTCAGTTTGGCTGCACAGTATAGTCGACTACAGAGAGAGACAGAATAGAGGTTTAATGCCTGTGTAATACCACTTTTGATACAACAACAGAATAATACTTAACATATCACTTAAACACTTCCAACCAACCTGTGAATTTAAATTGGCATAAAAAAAATAACATTTATTGTGATTAAAGCCAGTAAAGCAATATGCACAATATATTTACAAATTATTAGATTAGATTAGGTTAGATTCAACTTTGTCATTACACATGTACAAGTTCAAGGCAACGAAATGCAGTTTAGCATCTAACCAGAAGTGCAATAACAGCAGTGCAGAGTGCACAGTATCTACAGTATGAACAGTCAGAATTAATTTACCGATAGATTTGTACAATTTATAGTTACAATAAGATATGTAGGGTAATTAGGGTATTGTGTGAGTTTTACCGCTTTCAACTGTAAGAAAAGCTTCACATTAAATTCATTAAATCTCTGCAGCCATCTGAAGACAGCTAGAAACAAATGGATACATCTGCCGTCTCTAACTTGGGAAGTGCCATACCAGAGCACAGAGCCATTATGCTCAGCATTAAGGCAGACTAAGTGCTCAGCCAGGTGCCACTGCTGGATGCCGTTGTTAATGCGAGTGTCCCACACTGGTAAAGCAGTTGTTTAGGTCAGTTACTGAGGCAACTGCACCACGTTGAGTGCTGAGCCGAACAGAGTCAGGGTCACACAGGAGAGAAACTCTGGGTCAGGGTTGTGGATGAAGTGTCAGTGCCCAGGGAAAAACATACTAAGGGAGATTACTAGTTTCAAGGTCAAAAATGTTCAAGTAAATTGTTGAATCCAGTTTACTATATTAGAGTCAACTAACATTTTCAATTTCAGTTCATCACCATGTGCAACACTATCCATAAAACACACACAAGTATAAATAAAGACATATATATATATATATATATATATATATATATATATAGAGAGAGAGAGAGAGAGAGAGAGAGAGAGAGA